TTCATCATTATTATTAATATATAACATAAGTTGGTCGGTACTTCCTCGCACGCTCCCAGAATCCACTTGGGGCGAAATTAAAACTCAATGGACATATAAGTATATATTTAGGTTTATATTATACCTGACTAACATAATAACTTAGGTACTTTTTTTTTATACATTGCAATTTTGGTAGGTTTATCATTGACGTTCGTGCTGACGAAGGGCTGGTGATGGTTCAAAATGTTCAAATGCACCACCCGAGTAAATCATTTTTATTAATTGTTTGAATTTTTTAAATAAATAGTAAAATATAAAATTCATCTCCATAGTCATGACCAAAAAAAGTGAGATTTTGAGAAACTGTTATACTTTGGTACTGAAATTGGTTCAAGTCATAAAATAACGAAAATACAATGCAATTGGGATTTTCATTTTATTTACATTGAAATCATAATAAATAATAGGTAGTCGTGATTTGTGATAATTTATTATTATCATCATAAAATACTTTGTACCTACATTGCGGTTGATATCAAATGATCGAAATAATTTATATTTTATACCGTAACAATGTTTATATTGTGATTTGTAATTATTAAATTAATGACCAGTGTAATTTTTAATCAACCAAAATTAGTTGGTTATGTTTTAATGCTTCTTTTATTAGACTAATCACTGATGKGTAAATATTTCATATAAATTTACTATTGGACGGATGTGAAGGGGAAAGCCCTCCTCGGCATATATTGACAACAAAACAATAATTTTGCGTGCATCTAGTGAGCTAATTCTCTACGGGCGTCGCTGATAGGTATATATACTATATATACATACATACTTTTACCTACACATACAGCTTAAKAATCTAACATAGCATATTATACATCATAATTCAAAGTTGGGCAAATGAATGATAACAATCAAGTTGAGTTAGTTAAGTGAACACAAGATCGATAAGTTAAAAGTTAGAAGTAAACAGTTAATAAACCATACATTTTACTTGATAAGTTAAAATTTTATTGGGAAAAAATAATAATTTAATTCATTTTAAAAAAAAGCAAATTTAATTTTTTTAAATTTTTAAGTGGATGCCATAAACATACAGTGGCTGCGTTTTTTTCTAATTTCCTAAATTCTAATAAACAATTTTATTGAAAGTTTATTTTAATGTACTGCAGTATAAATATATCTTTTTTACTTAACATACGTATTATAAATTGTTAAATATTTAAACAATACACATCTCAATTAACAATTTAATAAATATTATTTGTTTTATATATCAATTACCAAGGCTGTAACTGGGGGTCCAGGGGTCCGCCAAAAACAATAAAATAATAAATCAATAAAAACATTAGTTAACATTATTAAAAATTTGAATATTTATATATTTAATAATTATTAACCCTAACCTGATATATCTTATATTAAACAAACATGTATATATATATACTGAATTTATGAATCATTTACGAACTTCTTCAACGTTTATTACTTACCCATTGGATTGGGAAGAACTGAAGTATCTAGAACTAGACGTCTATATCCTTTTCGTTTACCACCATACGATTAAAATAAAGAATACGTATGGTCGAAATAATGCCATTAGAATAAAAATTATTGACCTTTTTGACTTCGGCAGGTAACTATAGTATGCACCATAAATGAATAATAGTATAAATATTTGTTTCGTATAATAAACATTTATGGATAACAATACTAACAAATGATGATCAAATGATATCGTCAATTACCTGCAGAAGTGCAGCCTGCACTATATGCGCATTATACTGTGTAGTGTGTAGTTAAGGTTTTAACTATCCCAAATCATACCCTTTTGAGTATACTTATAAGCATACTATATATATAAGTATAATCATAATGTACATATTACACACGCATTATTTAAATATGAATTAAAATTGCAACTGCTATATTATTATTATGCTATTATCTCTAGAAGGATTTGAAAATAATAGCATGGTTGCCATTAAAAAAACGAAAGTTGCAGTCAATACATCCCAGTTCCAAACGCGTTAATATTATATATTATATATTTTTAAAAAAACACTCTTAAATAGTCAACAATCAATATAGGTTTATGTAATAAAAATATTCATTAGCTATTAACATTGATGATTCATCAATGATGAACACCCTAAATACATAGTAAATTTTACAAAATGCGTTATACATATTATATACATTATATTATATACCTACATATATACGCACATTTCGGGTGGATTCGTACGAAAATGACATGGACGTTTTTATGGATCGGGTCAACAAAAAGGTCAATAAAAAGGATCCGATGAACGAAATCCCGGAAGTTCCGGTCGCATGATACTGGGCGGGTAAAAATCCTAGTTCCGGTCTAGCGGATGTAATGACTTGCGGTGGACGCACCAAAGCTTTATAGATGACACGGTCCACTGAGGAGAGGCGACAGTCTCTACTGCGCCAGCCGTAGCAGCAACAGCAGTTTCCTGCGAAGCACTCTCTCTCTCTCTCTCTCTCACACACACACACACACACACACACACACACACACAAACGCTGGTGCACGAGAAGATATCGCGGACGGGCGACGACGGTTTTCGTTTGTGTGTGGTGGTAGTCTGGTTAACTGGTATAGTGGTATATGTATACATATATATAGGGCGAGGGATGCGATCGGATATAGAAAAGGACGAATCTGGTAAGGAATTCTCGTTTTTCTACCCCGCGGCTCTATTTACTCGTCCTTTCTAGTGCGCAAAAAATGTGTACGTTAAAGGGAAATATAATCGATTTTCGTTCAGCTGTCTTATATTTTTTCAATATGCGCATCCAATATTATATATACAATAAGCCCGGCCGCCATCCCTTAATATTATTATTATATTATAATAAATGTTATATGGTAAAATATACGTTATTGTTATTATTATTATTATGTTCTATGTTTGTGTGTAGGCGTTAGACGAACCACGTGCGTGTGTGTGAGTGTGTACATATTAAATCTAACGCACTTACCTATAAATGGCGAGTTACGGCGTATACATTCGATGGCGATTGCGTGTAAAATATTTCGAAAGACGTGTATATATAATAATACGTATATTAAATATTTCAATACTCGTGTACAATCTGCGCCGAAATTATGTGCGGTGCCCAGAAAAAAATAAATTACCGTGCGCACATTTTGCGGGATAATGCGTATATGTACCTATCTATTATATTATGTATTTCCCAAGTAGGTTTACACACCTTCTGCTGCAGTGCGGCTAATTCGTTTTCTATCGGTTTCAAACGTAATTTTTTGTTGAATTTTGACGGTGCCCGAAAAACCGTTCGTTGGCTCGACAGCCAACGTATATATTATATTATTATTTATTATGCTCACTTTTTAAGATATTCAACAGTGGGCACTGGGCGTTATAATACTAGTTACAAAGTTGATTTTTTAACTCGACTGTAAATCTACTGTAGTTATACTACGTGTCTTGCGGAAACAACTTATAATTTATAAAAATTATGTAGGTTTAAATAATTTGTTTGTATTTGTTTAATCTGTTTGTGACCGTTATTAGCTGCAGTTGGCTGCAGCTACCTATACTTATATGATATATTATGTTACGTTTAATTTGTTCTATTATCACAAATCACAATAATGAATAAGGTAGGTATACCTTATTGCAAATACGCTTGTACCTATGCATAATGATAATATTGTATGTTTTTTTTTTTTTATTGGTCTTGAAATTATTGATGATTTCTACTTCGACATTTGAGGCCATTAGCAAGTATGTACATACCTATTTCATGTTAGTACATTTTACATAATTAATTGTATCGTTTCTTAACTTTTAACTTTTAACTCGTGTTCCTCACTTTAAACTAGTTCTAAACAGGGAGGGGGGGTGATGGAGCCCTTATGCGAGTAAAGTATATGTAGCAAAATTAGTTTATATAAATTTGATTGTTTTAAAAATACAATTGTTTTATTTTGTTTTTGTTTTTATTTGTGGCTAGGTATGGATTACACTGTATGAAAATATCTTAGTAGAAAGTGGAACATAAAAAAGTACCTTTTTTTTGTATTCCTATATTTTTAGGATATTTCAACTATTACAGAATAAAAATATAAGATCAAAAACATCCCTGAACTTGTAACATAAAACCACATTGGGTAGGTCCCAGAGTTAAAACAAAATCGTTAAAAACACATAATATATGATCAGGTTAGGTACCTTGCAAAGATTATCATGAAGTGTCTGTAGMCCGAGTCACCAATATTATGTCATAATATTTCAATATTTTAATACGCTATAACTTCGATACTAAGACCGACCGATAAATTCTGATGACACTTCAATTTTTTCATCAAAAATTACATATAAAAAAATAAAAAAAAAAATAACAGCACTACAGGGCTAAATTAGAATAATTATGTTTATGTGTATAAGTGTTGGCAATAATAATTGGCATATGCGTCTGAACCACGAATATCAAGATATTATCGATGATAATAATATTGTTTTATTTCCTAGCGAAACTTACAGGTATCATAGCTATGATAATTTTATTATAATTCAATAAAAATATGTCTTTTTCAAATGACTGAATATATGAAATAACGTAAAAATTTATGAACAAAAACAAACCTCCCTAACCCCGGGGTGGCTGTGAAATTATATCAATAAACTCCTCTACTTAATAATTACCAATTCAACTACAAGTTATAACTATTCAAGCACTCGATATAACAATATTGTATTATGTTACTAGTGTTACTATTTACAACTTACAATATAATATGTATTAAAATTATATTGGTGGATGTTGTATTTTAAAGAAGTGTGGGAACATTATATTATATTTTTACGACGGAATAAATTATAGCACTGGTCACTGTGCAGTGATACTGATAACACTAAATTAGTGATAAATGATAATACACTATCATTATTATAATCGCTATATTATTATCTATCTCCTTTAAAAAATATTTGAACTTTTGAAAAAACAAAACATGATGTTATAATATAAAAAATTACATTTAATAATAATTAATCACATTTAACGATCAATACACTTGAATTATCAAAAGAAACATTTTTTTTATTTGTTCAGTACGACTATCAGTATGCTCTAGTTTTTATGATTTTCTTTTTTATTATTTGTGTTACTTGTTGGTTACTTCCCATCAACAACTTTTAATCATCTGTGTCTCTTGGATAGTTGGATACCTTATATGGTTCGTAATATGTACTACTCTGTTTCAATAATTCAGGTATATTATTAACAAATATTCATTTTTTTTTTTTTTTTTTATAACTGTATGAGATGAGACTAGGGCATTTGACATCTGCTAATATTTACTGCCGTCTGCAAATAGACCTTTGGCACAATTAAATCTCGTAGTATTTACATTTCATATTTGTTTTAAAAATAAATGACCACAGTAGTTTTAAATTGTATCCAACTATATTTTACAGCTACTGCGGTGACACCGCCAAGACAGTAGAAACGTACAGTCACCACATCAGTGATTGCAGATTACAATAAATTATTAAGTACACTAAACTTAATACTATTAGCTTTAAAGAGAAACTTAAATAACAATAAATACAAATAATATAACTATAATAATTATTGAACACATTTTTTTGTCTTGGAACAAGATTAAAAAGATATTTAAATCTCTACAATGGAATTACGAAGCAAGAAATTTCTAGAAGAAATTAAATATTTCAGCTTGATTTGACTAAAATGTATGTATAAACACATAATTTTTTCAGTCTTTATTCACAGTTCTACTAACTTCTAGTAAATCAAAATAAAATAACACAGTTATTAACATAATATCACTAATTTTTTTTATTAACCTTATAATATTCTTCAATAATGCTAATAATATACTACCATCTTTATGTACCTACTCAATGTCATGTTTTGCTAGTCATAGGCCATTTTGTTACTACCTTATTTTTATTTACATTCTAGGTATCTACTATACTCTGTTTCAAAAGAAAATAGACTTGGCGACGACTGGCTCCTATCCTGCATAAGGTACAATACAGCATTCAAATTATTTGGCAGAAATGCAAAAAAGTGTGCAGAATTGGTATATTCTTCTTTGGAACATAGTATATGTATGATTACTTAACTAAACAATATATTAATATTTTTACTAAATTGCTTTACATCTCCTACAAATTATACTTCTTGCTGCCATTTTCATTTACACTCATGATCTTTATGTAATAATTTTCAAATTCCATGTTTTAATACCTTTTAGTATTATAATTAATTCATAAAATTATGAATATATATATATATATATATATTATATTTTATAAAAAATAAAAGGATTATTAAGAGTACCCAGTTTAACTTAAAATAATAAACAACTTCATCCTCTACTTTATTAGACTCTCGTTTTAATTTATAATCATACACCTGCCTACTCAAAATAATATTTTGTCTTTTTGTAACAGCTCTATCTCATCTAAAGTATTTAATACTAATAAGCTGTACATAAACTGTTAATGTAGTCTAATTAACATATCTTTATGTCTCGTTTGCTTCCTAAAACTTATATTTCATAAATATTTATATAATACAAATACCCATCTCTGTAACCATGATGCTGCTAATATCTATGTCAGTTTTGATAACTAAATATCTCTCTTAAAGCTGAACATAAGTCAAATTTATTTAAATATATTATATTAACTTGACGAAATTTTTTTATTTTTAATTCTATTGCTCTTGCTTCTCTATGCATTTAAAAATATTTTTGATCTGTAAGGTAATAAAACTAATTTTTCTACCCTATTAACCATTTGAGCCAAAATTATTCCTATACAATATTTTGGACTAAGAACTCAACGTTTTTTAAAATCTTCAATATTCAAAATAAGTAGTCTAAGTTTTTTAATTTTTTAATAAGTTTTTAATCAATATTTATTTTTTATTTAATTAAACAATTTTTAAATGTAATTGTAAGATTGCACAATTTTAAGTTTCTACGTGGAATTTTTATGGAAGAAATAATTATTTTATTTAGTTCTTTGTTGGTAATMTTGATTTTTACTTCTCACAAATTAGTTTGAAAATGTATGATTAATAATATTCAATTAGGTAAAAACTTTTTAAGAATGTTACCAAGTTACTTTTTTAAGCAAAATCTTAAAATTAATTTTTTTTTGTGGTAAGTGTCTCAAAACCCTAAAATGCTCTAAAAACTATTAAATGACCTTAAAATTGAAAATTGCCAAAAAAATATAAAATAAAAACTYCTTGATCTGATTCAAAATTTTTTTTTTTGATCATAAATCTCTAACATATAAAATTTTGTTTTTATAAATATTAATTTTTTTTCAAAGACTATCAAAACCTCTTACTCCAATAAAGATTAAACATCTGTCATTAATGATTTAATGAAAAATGTAAAAATCACAATATGTAATTCAATCATGATTCCTAGTAACCTTTAATTAGCTTGTAATTTTTTTAATGTTATTTGGTGTTCTAACTTATCTAACTGCTTCTAGGCTCTATTTTTTTTTATTGTATATGGATACCATAATATGATAATAAAATTTTGTGGTACCTATTTAATATTAATAATTGTATACAGTAATTGTTATTTTGTCTATTATTTGTAAGAATGCTATCAACATATCTCTTTTATTATTATTTATCTTATGCCAAATAATAATATTAATTGTTACTTTATTATCAACTCATATTTAAATACTATTATTATTATTTGGTTTTGGTATGATAATTATGTAATTAGCTCATTTGGCATTTACTTAACTTTGCTTATTCTATGACTTTTCTGATAACATATCTTTATATTTTTTTGATCACCTTGTCTCAGTTTAAAATTAAAATTTTAAACGATACTTTATATGCTTTATCAAAAATAAGTTTAACATTATTAGGAGTTATGCTTATGACTACCATTTTAAACTATTTTTTTAATTTTTTTTGGTACATTTCAAAATAATCTTAGAAATAATAATTTCAATAAAATCCTACGATATGCCCCAGATAATAATTTTATATACATATAATAATAATATTCTCGCTTTTAAATTTTATAAGATGTAAATTCAGAGTAAAACGTATTATTGTTAACGTTAAATTTCCCGTGAAATTCTCAGAATTTTTCAGACGTAGAAAACAAATGTGTCCTGTTAATTATATGAAAAATGTTTCAAACTTATATTTTGAATTATTTTCTTTATTTTAACTTCATATATTCTCATACTTAAAATAAAAAAAATGATCAAAATTCGACATACTAAAGAGGGGTGAGAGTATTTCCTATAAAGTCATTTTCGTTGACATAGTTCACCGTATTGACCTCTCTCTCCTTAATAGATATCGGGCAATAGATTAGTGGAAAAAAATGTATAATGAAAGTAGTAATTAAAATTTTAAATATAATTTTATAGAATCTTGAAAAATTGGAAAAACGGGCACTGATTTTAATCGTAAATGTAGAATAGATCTTGTAAAAACAGATAGGACATTCATAACTGAGGCTATTGTGTCTTTTATTAACTGATAATAATTTAAAATTATTTGTTTACATTTTTATATGACACATTGACACGAATATTCGAGTTTATTGCATAAAATTATATTTATAGTCGGTACTCAATATAGCTATACTTTTTTGGCCTTATATTGGAAACACTTGAATCACACGAATTCTTCAACGTTATCACTATGATCAACAGCTACACAGGCATTATATAAGTCTTATTAATTCTTAATTTTTTATTTCGTTTTATTTTATCAGGAATACATCAAATACGGGCTGCAAAATCCAGATAAATCAACCAACTCTTAATCACCAACTTCAAACCATTAATAATCTACATCATCTTGTTACCATGTAATGGTACGAAAAATAAATTTGAGTTGATATGTATATTTATTATTTACATAATATAAACATGATTAGTAAATTAAAGTACTGTTAAACTTTTTTAGGTGTGTTATTTTAGCAGAAGCCGAGAAAATACGTGATGCGTTATTTGCGGTAGGATGAACGACACCAAAAKGAGTGATCTTCCTGGTAGTTCGAAGACACGTGAAAGCGAACGCTTTGCATGCAATATTTGTAACATGTCATTCACTCAAAATAGTCATTTGACTAAACATGGACGAACACACGCAGTCGTGGAGCCGTATCCATGTGATATTTGCGACAAGTCGTTTGCTGACAACAGTCAGCTCATGAAGCACCGACGGAACCACATGGTTGAGAAACCCCACAAGTGTGATTTTTGTGAAATGTTTTTTGCTCAAGCCAGTCATCTAAACAAGCATCAACGGTCGCACATGGGTGATAAACCGTTCCCGTGTGACATATGTGACAAGGCGTTCGCTGATAAAAGCCATCTAAAAAGACACCGGCGAACTCACACAGGTGAGAAACCTTACCCATGCGGTGTGTGTGACAAATCGTTTGCAGATAGTGATGGTTTGACGAAGCACTGGCGATGGCACACGGGCGAAAGACCTTACCCTTGCAATATGTGTGAAAAGTCATACGCCGATAGCAGTAGTCTAACGAAGCACCGGCGGTCGCACACTGGCGAGAAGCCGTACTCGTGTGATGTTTGCGACAAATCCTATTCTCAAAGCAGTCATCTGACGAAGCACCGACGTACACACATAACCGATAAACCGTTTTTGTGCGATATATGTTTTAAAACGTTCACTGATGGCGATTTTCTTACAAAACATCGCCGGACGCACACAGGTGAAAAACCATACCCGTGCGATGAGTGTGAAATGTCGTTCGCTCAAAGCAGCAATCTTACAAAGCACCGGCGGACGCACACTGGTGAAAGACCTTACCCGTGTGATATCTGTGATCAGGCATTCGCCGTTAGCGCCAGTTTAACTAAACACCGTCGGACGCACACCGGCGAAAAACCGTACCCGTGTGAAGTGTGTGACAAATCATTTGCTGATAGTGGAAGTCTGACAAAGCATCGGAGGACACACACTGGTGAAAAACCCTATTTATGTGATGTGTGCGATAAATCATTCGCAATTAACGGTAATCTGACGAAACACCGCCGGATACACACGGGCGAGAAACCTTACTTATGTGATGTGTGCGATAAATCGTTTGCTGATAGCAGTGGTCTAACGAAACACAAGCGAACGCATACGGGTGAGAAACCTTACTTTTGTGAAGTTTGTGAAAAGTCGTTCAGTGATAGTGGTACCCTGAAGAAACACCGGCGAATAAAGCACACACAACCGGATCAGTCAAACATGGCAAAAGATGTCACTACCCTGCCCGACGTATGATGGTGACAAAAATTATACATTCAATTTTGTAATAGTATAGTTAATTATTTCGATATTATAGTCACATGACTGGTGGATACAAGAAGTCAAATAAATAGATTTGACGATTAAATGATCCATAGTTTTTAAAAATTTAATCATATATTATACTGAAACTTAAAAGTTAAGAGCTGTTATGGTTGCATAATTTATTATACTGTTATTCTAGATAATAATAAATGCGTTTTTATAAGAGATAGTTAATTGATTAATAATTGACTCGATAGCTGAGAGGCCAAAAGTTATAAAATGTTTAATTTTACTAAAAATCGTTTTGAAGTCCATTATGGCAATCTGGTTTGTCTTTGCATTCGACAAAACATCATCATAGTCAATATCAAAATTAAAACATGTTTAATAGATACTTTAAGTTTTATGATTTTAGAACATATTTATTACAATGTTTCTAAATTCGTAAGATATATAAATATTATATTGCGATCCAAAATATATTAAGTTAATAAATATAAGAAGTCCAGATTTGTTACTCATGTGAAAAACAATTCATTAAATTTTGCACGTGCAATGTTTTAGATAGTATTGTTTTAGTTAAATTATGAATGAAAATTCTAAACACATGTATAACTAAATTTTACCATAAACTGTATCTCATATTTTGTAAAATGTTTGCTTGTGACATGCAATAGCTTATGGTCTCTTAACCATTGATGAATTACTAAGAATTATGGTAGCTTATGTATCATTAACCATCTATCAATCATGTTGGGTAAATAAGCTCCCAACTCTAATATAAATGTTATAAACTTCCAAGATAACGTAGGTACCTAACCTACCTTACATATTGTATGACTGTTGATAATATATTTATCTAACTTAATGATTTAATCAGAGCCTTTATATTTTGTATACATTTAATGTATTTATAATTTTTAGCTTTTAATCTTCTTTTTTTTGTTTATTAAATCTAAAAAAAAAAAATCATGTTAAATATAACGAAATTCACTTCAAAAAATATAATATACGTTTTAAACACATTACAATATAGTAGAGCTCAAAATATGCCATTAAAATATGCAATTATATGCCATAAAATATATAAAATATATAAATAATACCTAATTTTTCAACAAAAATATGAAAAAAAGGTAAACATTAATTCAAGAAAAAAAAATTATATAAGTACACTTTTAAATGTGAATTTAAAATTACTTTATCATAAATACACAGCTATTAAGTATGAAAAAACTATTAATTAGTTTTAGATCTATTAAAATTAAATTTTACATGGGTTTAGTACTATAAGTATCAGGATATCAGTATATGTAACAATTATTTTTCTGATAATTTCAAATTTGAAAGATCTTCAATGATTTGACAATATTTTTTTATAAATCAAAAACGTCCACTCCACGTCTAAAGAGTTGTTTGGTGCTTACTTAAACTTAACAATGTTATCAATTTTCATAGCCATTGTGTCACTGGCTTATAAATATCTAATCTTCTAGTTTTATGATTGTGTTACTCATAAACACAATGATATTAGCGATGAATTTTTTATTTTTTTATTGAAGTTTAATAAATTACAATGATAAATSATGATAATTATGGAAAGTTTTTAATAGTATACTTATAATTTATAATATATATGCTAAATAATCTATACATGATCAATATACACGAATTTATATGCTAAATAGTGCCAAATATGCAAAATAAGTACATATTAATAATATAGGCTTCACAAATCAAATTTATATCATACTCAGGCATAAATTTGGTAGCTCTAGTTATTAGATGAATGAATACTATTCCAAATTTGAAAAATTTCACTGTGTGACTGATATTGATAAATTAATTATTTAAGCCTTGTTAAAAGATTCATTTGTTTATTTGATCCTATTTATTTTGATTATTGTTTATTGTATAGGCATTTGGATTATAAACATGGATCAATTATTATTAATAATTTACCCTTGAGTATGGTTTAAGGTTTATGGACAATGATCACAAATAAATATATATACACAAAAATTAAAGATGTTTCATTTGTATTAGAAATATATATTTATTTTTAATGAATAATGTGAGAAATGACAACTTCTGAATTATATGAGCATTTACTCTTTGAATAGGAAATAATAACAAATTCCAGTAACCTTCCTAATCAAAGTATAAATAAGAATGATACTATTTTTTTCTTATTTCGTCTTATTTTATTTAAAATTATATGCATAMAATTATAATAGTTTTGTATTCTAACCAATATTCATAATCATTAAATGTGCTCACAATAGAAATAATACATTTAACTTTTTCATTCAGAAAAATACATAAATAATTACATGTTTACCTATGAAATATTAAAACTACTTAAATAATAATTAGATTGATAGGCCCCCCCTCACTTAGGCATGATAGAAACCTAAGGGTGCCCATTCGAAATTTTTCCAAAAAAACTTCCACGAGTACCAAACNCGAATATTTGTGAATTTTACGTATATTGTCAAAATTCAATCTTTGAATGTTTATWAAAAAAAACTTATGACTTTGAATTGATTTTATTTTTCAACTGCTATTATAACAATATATTATATGTTGGTATCTATGGTAATTTTTTTTAAAGTTACATCAAAAACCAAAATTGTTTTCGTCGAAAACTGACCGCACGTAAAATTTCCAGTTTTTCCCTTAATTTTTAGTTTGTTTATTCCGACTATTTAGAGAAATATTAAGAATTTTTTACTCTTGACCCCCCCCCCCTCACAAAAAAATTTTGAGGAGGAATCTTCTATTACAATTTCAAATTTGAAAACAGATATTTTTATGAATTTCCAACTTAAAAGTAATTTTCAAGATTTTGTTGAATTTTTCAAAATTATTACTTTAGACTATCATAAAAAATATATTGACTTAAAATATTTTATTTTAATGAAAACAAATAATAATACAGATTGGTAATTTGTAGTATTTGTTCTAAAAATAGACATATTATATAGTTGTCGAATGATCAAAATTAAATCATAAATTTTAAATGCATAAAATAATAATATAATAGTATCACATAGGTTGTTGGTAGTTCTTCATTTTAGTTTTTCGTTAATATAGGTAATCAAATTAATAATTAAATTGATCAAACCTATCATATCAAGTGGTGCATTTAGATATTTTGTGTCCCCAATGGAGAAAATATCACCTTGAACTTTTTAGATTTTAAGTAAAAAAAAAGAATCAATGGATTTACCCCAATGTGAGTAACACGTAATTGTATGAACCCACTCTTCTTTCCGAGCATAACATTGAGTGTTCCTATGCCACCAGACACCACGATTAAAGTGGGAGGGGGACACTGGGGGACTGAATACCCCTACGGCTCTACCTCTAATGGCGGTTAAAAACCGTTTCCTTTAACCAATTATTTTTAAAGTATGCAGGATCGGCGAACGCTCCAATTATAACCAAACATTAGTCAATACAATTGAAATAATTAATAATATAATAATTATTATGTATGTTATATTTTTATTTTTTATGAATTTATGTTAAAGAAAATACAATGTAAGTTATTTTACTTTAAAACAGTTCTTTATTGAATAATATAAAATTTAGTTTCATATATTCATATATATCTATTCATTTAGATAGGACTGCATTTTTATGATATGAATATTTTTTGTCTGAGTGATTTCTTCAGTTTTCTTAAAAGACAATCATTGCTTATAATTTAATAGGTATTGAGAAAAAATATTCTCTATCAAAATATTAAGTTTGCTTAAAATATTTGTTAGTCTTAAAAATGTAGTATTATTTGTGTTTTAAATTTATCATGAAATAAAATATAAATTACAAATTTGAAATTTATTCAGGGTTAAGAGTGGTATGGTATACAAACTGTGTTTATACATTTATTATACTCTGTGCATTTAGACATTCTACACAAAAAATTATGTATAGAACACTTAAGACTATATGGAGGCATTAGTACCTCCGAACATTTTTCCCACTTTAAGCTCTGTCTATAGTTATATTCATCATAAAAGTTTTTTTAAGGTTCTTAGTAGAGCAATATAAAAATGTATTGATTTAACATTGAAATGTGTTTTTTTTTTGTGAAATGCTTCGATTTTTTGATAAAAAAATTAATCTAGATGATACTGGTCAAAATTAAAAGTTCAATATAGCTTGGGAAAATATGTATTGGGAAAAACAAAATTAAAATTAAAGAAAAACAAAATTTTTATGTAAATTCAGTTTTCGCCTAATTCGATTTTGGTTTTCTGTTGTAATTTTAAACCAAATATATCTACACATAAAGGAAATTTTCACCMAATATTTATATTATTATATTATTTTGTATACTCCGTACAATTTTAAATATTTTGATTCTTTTTGAGAATGGTTTGGAATGATTGGATTCTTTTTTAGCAGTGGTTCTCAAGCTTTTTTGATTCACGGCACATTATTATACATCACAAGTTTTCGCGGCACACTCAACACAAATGTAATGAAATAAAGTAGGTATGTACCTACTGTACTCAAYATTTTTTACCAGCATAATTACAAATATCAGAAAATTCTCGTGGTACACCTATAGTCAATCTCGCCGCACACCGGTTAAGAACCACTGATCTATAGGTAGGCATAAAAAATTTAGATTTGTATTAGTTTTTTAATTTTTTTTTATAAAATACTGTTGAAATTTTTACAAATAATTCATAGTTTAATACAAAGCTCCATATAAATTGCGTTAGTGGAAATTAGCATTAGCGTTAATTAGCATTAATAGGTGCACTATATTTTTGATGAGCGTCTGAAGTAAACATTTTGATGTGTTGTTCAATAATTTTGAAATTCTTAACAATTTAGATCTAAGATTTGAAAATTTAACACATCATTCCTTGTACGTTTCCTACCTTTAATAATACAAAAAAGTCTACCAGAAAGGCGTTTCAAATTAATTTGTTAGTGTTTGAAGTTCAAATATTGTTGAATGATAAGACTGATTTATAGATATTAAAGACTTTAATCAAAGTCTATGAAGAAATACGACGCCAGACGGTTTTGTTTATCACCAGGTTACTTCATTCGACGTTGACGTTGTATACGATTGTATGGATGTTACAGGAACGTTACGGAGGTCGATCTGAACACTTGTAACAGGAGTGTATGCCGTGTTGTGATTTTCTTTGAACGAGTGGCTAGTGGCTATTATAGTTGTAGCGGCAATCGCTTGTACTGGACGCCGCCGCCGTCGCCGAAATCGAAGAACAGTAACGACTAGAGCGTACGACCCTGGTACACGGAGTCCATAATATAAAATACAACGCGTATCTACTAAAATGTTGAGAAAATTATATAGGTAATAATAATATTATTCTTTCTTTCACCTTAAACTCGGCTTAAATCACTATTTGGACTCAATTTTTTTTTGCATTAGTTATTT